TTAGTAGCAGTAGTCGACCAGCTCCGACACCGAGCAGGCCTTCCGACAGCACTCCGCCGACAGCCCACGCTTACGACGCGGCGCCTCCTTCAGCACCTGCGACGCCTCCGCCTCCGTCAGGAAGGGGAAAGGGACGCCCGAGGACAAAAGGGCGTTGCGGAGGATGATCAGGTCGAAGGCGTCCGTGGCGGAGGGGCGTGTCCTTGGGTCCTGGCCGGGGGAGGTCGAGGGGGGGTGGGCGGAGGGGTTAGGGGGGTAGGAGTCGGGGTTGGGGGGGTAGGACTTGAGGTTGGGGGGGTAGGACTCGGGGTTGGGGGGGTAGGATAAGGACTCTCTCGCCTGAGGAAGCGAGGCCGCGAAACCTCCGGCTTGAGGGCGAGTCTTGCCTGTCCCAAGAGAGAGGTAAAAGGAACGGTGAGAGAAAGGGGGGACTGTGATGAATATTGAAGAGATGTGATAGGAAAAGAGCGAATATTAATAAATATGACGGGAGTAGGAATGAGGTTAAGGATGAGGAGGAGGATAAGAACGAAAGGAAGAGGAAGAAAGAGAGAGAGAGAGAGTGGGGGGGGGGGGGGGCGGCGGAGATAAAATGCGAGATGGATATATGTGTGAGACAGAGAGAGACAGAGGGAGAGAGAGAGAGAGAGAGAGAGAGAGAGAGAGAGAGAGAGAGAGAGAAAGGGAGAGAGAGAGAGAGAGGCACTGAGAGAGAGAGACAGAGAGTCAGAAAGAGAGACGGAGAGTCAGAGAGAGAGAGAGAGAGAGAGAGAGAGAGAGAGAGAGAGAGAGAGAGAGAGAGAGAGAGAGAGAGAGAGAGAGAGAGGGAGGGAGACAGACAGAGAGAGATTTAAAAAAACAACAACAGACACACAGAGAAAGCTCATGAAGAGAACGAAGCTGAAAAAAATCGAAACTGGCATCTAATCTTTCAGTTAACTCCTATCAGCGCATGGTTTTTAGTTAAAGTGTAGTCACAATGTTTTTTTTTTTTTTTTTTTTTTATCATTTTCCCTTTTAATTAACACGTACAGATATACAGAAAAAAAGCCGACTTGTGGATCGAAAATGAAGCTTCGACCCAGAGTGCTGCTCATTAGCTGAAGAAAAAAAAACAAAAAAACACTTAGAAGAAAATCATACACAACTCAATTAATCTTAAACAATGCTTCAACTAACGTTAATTGAAATATTGCGCTTCAGCCTACGCGCGTTTACAAAATCACATCATTACGTAGAAAAAAAAAGATCAATCAACCTGTGAAATTCTATATTCGAAAAACACAATCTATTCAGTCTCTCCGTAACAGAAAACGCTAATTTTCAGTTGAAAAAAACAATGTGAATTTTGAGAGACAATAGCGAATGAGAATGAAATCAGATTAATGTGCCATTAATTATCTTTATCATGGCAAGAGTAGGTGTGCTGGAATTAATCACCAGAACCAAAATAGGCTCGTTGTTCGTGGCAAAGCTGTTGACAACGATTTTATTGTACCTTTTATATGTATTTTTTATTAAACGATGAACCTATTCACACTTTTACAGTAGAGATAATCTAAATTACTCAAATCTGTCACGTATATATATAAAATGTTTTTAGAATGAAACAAAATGAAACATTAACCGTTTAACACTGAAACACCGGTGCGCTCTTTGCACAAGGAAGGATTCAAACTCATCATTACCGAAACCTAAAATACTCTTTTTAATCTACCCTAATCACATCTGATCCTAATTAACAAACAGGATGAAGACCAACTGATACCTTAAGCAAAGTCTAATTATAGTGTTCACTCTGATAGAGTATTCACTCCAGTGCCGTATTTCGTTTGGATGTCGAGGGATACGTGTGTAAATATAATGAAAATAGTGATGCTAAGGATGATGATGGTACTAATGAAGATGATAATGATGATTATGATTACGATACTGATGCCGCTGATGGTGATGATAACAATAGAAATAATAACAATGATAATATAATAGTAATAGTAATAATAATATCAATGATTATCATAATAGTAATAATAATAGTGATAATAAAAACAATAATAGAATAATGATAATTATGATAATAATTATGATGATGATAATAATGATGATAATAATAATAGTAATAACAGTAATAGTAATAATAATAATAATAATGATAGTAATAGTAATAGTAATAATAATAACAATAACAACTACACAGACAACAATATTGTAATAATAATAACAGTAATATTAGCAATAATAATAATAATAATAATGATAGTAATAGTAATAGTAATAGTAATAGTAATAATAATAATAATAATAATGATAGTAATAGTAATAGTAATAGTAATAGTAATAGTAATAGTAATAATAATAATAATAATGATAGTAATAGTAATAGTAATAGTAATAGTAATAGTAATAGTAATAGTAATAATAATAATAATAATAATGATAGTAATAGTAATAGTAATAGTAATAGTAATAGTAATAATAATAATAATGATAGTAATAGTAA